TCCCTTTTGCTCGATTGTCATGTTGTTTCATCAATGCATTTTTTTAACTTTTTTAATATATTTTAATATATTTTAATATATTTTTACATTTTAAATATTACATACTATTTGCAGAAACTTTTGCATCATTAAATATAGAATACATTTATATACATTTTAACATACAGTTTTAACTCAATGTCAATTTTAACAATATAATAATCATACATTAAATTAAATGCATAAATAATATCTTTTATTAAATTAATTAAAGCTTTATTTTTTGTTTAATTTCATTTAATTATTTCATGCAGATGTATTTTAACTACTCAGAACTAAATTAATAATTGAAATACGCATAACGGTTAAACTAAAAGATAACTTAAAATGAAGTAAAATGAAAGTAGGCACTGAATATGCAGATATTCGAAAAAAATCTCTTTTCAATCTAACACTGAAAGCATTCTAAAGTTTTTCGTTAAAAGCACTCTAAAGAACTTGGATGTTGGTTGAAAATGCAGTTTAATGATCTTTTCGTGATCAAAAGAAATGAGATGCTATTATCGCTCATTCCTGAAACATTTTTAAAACATTCATTGATGTCTTATTGTCAGAATTTTTATTAAAAACAAAACCAATATTCTATCATAAAAAATAAAAAAACACAAAATAAATAATTTTTTAATGTGATTTGATGAAGTCCAATTTATGTGATATAAAATCACTTGAAATTATTGCTATTTCATCATAAATAATAAAATCATATTACTCCCCTCAAAAAGTTACGAAATGCATCAAATAATATAACAATAGTTAAAACAAAGATATAAAACAGCCCTACATCTGTGTATATGTAGAATTAATAATAAAGTTGTAAATTTCGTCACAATTTTGCTTAAATAGAAGATATTAATTTTGGCTTAATATTGCTATGAATTAAATTTGTTTTCGAAGAATTTACGTCATATGCATAAGTTTGTTTATGGCATTTCTGAAAAAAGATATTCGATATTAAGATCCATAAGATCTGAGAAACCGTATTATTCTGTTATATTATACTTTCTCCTACTCAAAATTATAGTTTTAATTTATAAAAATTATTTTTTATACCTATGCATTTATATCTATTCATTTTTAAATTTATCGTTTATGTTATTACGTATCTTTTCATGTGATTATCATAATTCATATATTCATTTTTATAATAGAATAGCTATAATGTATAATGTACTAAAATTATGAGAAATAAATCATCTATAAATA